CTGGAAGAAACAATGGATAACATTGCAGTTACTGTAGAAGAGGTGAGAAAACACCTGCAGGCACTAGATGTGACAAAAATCAATGGGAGGGGGGTTGCAGTTACTCTCGCCATGGTTGCTGACGGAGGTTAATGGAACTAAATTTCACACCACCACAGTGCCCCCCCCCCCTCACCACCACAACTGTGCCCCCCCCCACCACCACCACCACTCAGTACGGTATAATAAAGACAATCACCAAGCCCATTTCTCACGAGGCCTCCACAGTAACATCGACATTGCATATAAATTTGTCTACTTAAAATCCCATTAGCTAAAAACAAAGTCCGTGCGGCCTGGGCAGCCTATCATGGGTCTGGTCCCCCTGGCCCTCTTCACCCCAGATGATTGGGTTATGGCCCAAGATTGATATCAAGTAGCCATAATTACATCAGCTTATTTCCCGCCATTTCCAAAATGTATTAAGCTTGTGTTGCCATCTTCTTGTCTTCCCCTCAGTATATTTCGCAATATAGTTTATGCCTGACGTTCATGCTTATTTAGATGCTTATACATATTTAAGACATAAACGAACCATATGTGTGTTGAGATATTATTTTCCAAATGGCTTAAACGGTACAGATGCGAGTATTTTATTCGGTAATCTCTCTCTGGCAACAGTATCGCGACTCTGGAGGGGGCGCGAGGGTAAACAAAGAATTTGGCGGGAAAAGTGACGCTATCTGGCGACAATCCCGCCAGACGGCGCCCGGACTTATTGGTGCCAGATTGCTCACGCTCTTACTCTCTCTCTTACTCTTTTTTCCAGTCGCATTGTATATGACTGATCTCTTAGTCTGTAAAATTGACGTAGTACGGTGTTGGACTTGAGAACCATCAACCTCCGGAAGGTGACTGAGGCCAATACAATAGATTAATGACCATTCAGCATATATAATATATGTTCTCAGGACTATATGGTAGAGTAATATTCACTCTCAGTGTATATATATACACTGAAAGGTGTATATATATATATATATATATATATATATATATATATATATATATATATATATATATATATATATATATATATATATATATATATATATATATATATATATATGCACCTTTCAGTGTACAGGAAAGGTGTACACCCCTGAAAAGGGTGTACACCTTTCAATGTATAAAATCTTTGAATGAATGAATATTGTTGACAACTTTCTGCTTCAAATGCGAACGGTGGAAAATGATGTAACTGTAAGTATTTACAATCGTAAATGTAAACATTTATAACAGTAAGTGTAAATATTTAGTTTGTTACATATTAATGTTATGTATCATTGTGCATGTTAATTATAAATGTTCACATGTTTTTGGGCTAATGCAGTAACCGCGAGGCTTAGTTATGGTGAGTATGTTAGGCTATACTCCCGCTGTGTATACTTGTTACACTATGAGTATGTTAGGCTATACTCCCGCTGTGTATACTTGTTATAGTATAAGTGAGTATGTTAGGCTATACTCCCGCTGTGTATACTTGTTACACTATGAGTATGTTAGGCTATACTCCCGCTGTGTATACTTATTATAGTATGAGTGAGTATGTTAGGCTATACTCCCGCTGTGTATACTTGTTATAGTATGAGTATGTTAGGCTATACTCCCGCTGTGTATACTTGTTATAGTATGAGTATGTTAGGCTATACTCCCGCTGTGTATACTTGTTATAGTATGAGTATGTTAGGCTATACTCCTGCTGTGTATACTAATTACAGTATGAGTATGTTAGGCTATACTCCCGCTGTGTATACTTGTTATAGTATGAGTGAGTATGTTAGGCTATACTCCTGCTGTGTATACTAATTACAGTATGAGTATGTTAGGCTATACTCCTGCTGTGTATACTTGTTATAGTATGAGTGAGTATGTTAGGCTATACTCCTGCTGTGTATACTTGTTATAGTATGAGTGAGTATGTTAGGCTATACTCCTGCTGTGTATACTTGTTATAGTATGAGTGAGTATGTTAGGCTATACTCCCGCTGTGTATGCTTGTTACAGTATGAGTGAGTATGTTAGGCTATACTCCCGCTGTGTATACTAATTACAGTATGAGTATGTTAGGCTATACTCCCGCTGTGTATACTTGTTACAGTATGAGTATGTTAGGCTATACTCCCGCTGTGTATACTTATTACAGTATGAGTGAGTATGTTAGGCTATACTCCCGCTGTGTATACTTGTAACACTATGAGTGAGTTAGGCTATACATGTTTATACGTATACATATGTGTACAGATATCAGGGGTATACACATGTTAGGTATACATGTGTTAGGGAATGTGTTTGTGTATACATATCAAGGGATACACCATTGTGTGTATGGGTATACTGGAGTATGCGAGCGGCTGTATGCGTGGAGGGTGTGTATTTACTATTTGTGCCTGCAGAATCGAGCTATTAGCTCTTGGACCCCGCCTTCGTAACCAATTAATTTTCCTCTATCAAGTCAACGACATATATTTCTTTCTAACACGCGCACTAGGAAGCAGCCCATAGCAGCTGTCTATAACTCCCAGGTACCTATTTACTGCTAGGTGAACAGGTGCATCAGAGTGAGAGAAACTATGCCCATTTGTTTCCGCCTCCGCCGGGATCAATCCTCAGACCCTGTGATTACGAACCCCGAGCGCTGTCCACTCAGCCATCAGGCCCCTGTGTGTGCCCAGGGGGGGGGGGGGACACGCCGCCATAGTGACAGTATTGGGCAGCGTCACTCATGCTGTGAGTGGACACACCACCATAGTGACAGTATTGGGCAGCGTCACTCATCCCGTGAGTGGACACACCGCCATAGTGACAGTATTGGGCAGCGCCACTCATCCTGTGAGTGGACACCGCCATAGTGACAGTATTGGGCAGCGCCACTCATCCTGTGAGTGGACACACCGCCATAGTGACAGTATTGGGCAGCGCCACTCATCCTGTGAGTGGACACACCGCCATAGTGATAGTATTGGGCAGCGCCACTCATTCTGTGAGTGAAGACACCGCCATAGTGATAGTATTGGGCTGCGTCACTCATCCTGTGAGTAGACACACCGCCATAGTGACGGTATTGGGCAGCGCCACTCATCCTGTGAGTGGACACACCTCCATACTGACAGTATTGGGCAGCGTCACTCATCCTGTGAGTGGACACACCGCTATAGTGACAGTATTGGGCAGCGTCACTCATCCTGTGAGTGGACACACCGCCATAGTGACAGTATTGGGCAGCGTCACTCATCCTGTGAGTGGACACACCGCCATAGTGACAGTATTGGGCAGCGTCACTCATCCTGTGAGTGGACACACCGCCATAGTGACAGTATTGGGCAGCGTCACTCATCCTGTGAGTGGACACACCGCCATAGTGACAGTATTGGGCAGCGTCACTCATCCTGTGAGTGGACACACCGCCATAGTGACAGTATTGGGCAGCGCCACTCATCCTGTGAGTGGACACAACGCCATAGCAGCATGTACAACACTCCCCAATAGGAAGAAAACCCGCTGGGTTGTTCATCCTGTCACTTGTACCCAGACACAGCTGGGACTTGCTTAACTGTCTCAAGTGAACAGCTCCTCAAACAAGAAGATTAACATCTATCAACCCTAAAAATCTTACGTTATCTTGCGGGGGCAAAATGGGGGAATCTTTTAAGAACAGTATCAATATTTGACAAATAGTGTTTTCCTAACTCAAACAATGTGGGGTTTATTATTCTACACATATTTCTAATGTCTCTCAGGTGTTCACATTCTCTCAGGTAGTGGTCAAGGCGGTGTCCGTCACTCTCACCACAGATTCTGCAACTCCGCTGCTCAACTGTTGTTTCCATTCCGTATCTCCATGGATATTTGTATCCAAGACGGATTCTCGCTATTACTGATTCTCTCCCTCGTCCTCCTCCTCTTCGTCCATAATGATTGGGATTGGCAGCAGCAACCATGTTGTACCATCGTACAGATTCACTGGTTTGTGCTTCTATCCTCCTTTCCTCAGTTACCTTGTCACGGTGATGTTGCCTGACAATACCTCTAATTTGTAGTAGAGTCTTGGGTATGAAGTATTCAATATGGTCTCCTTCAGCGCCTTCAGCAGCCACCACATCTGCTCGTTCATTCCCACATATTCCAACATGGGAGGGGGCTCCCCAACATGGGAGGGGGGCTCCCCAACATGGGAGGGGGGCTCCCCAACATGGGAGGGGGCTCCCCAACATGGGAGGGGGCTCCCCAACATGGGAGGGGGGCTCCCCAACATGGGAGGGGGGCTCCCCAACATGGGAGGGGGCTCCCCAACATGGGAGGGGGGCTCCCCAACATGGGAGGGGGCTCCCCAACATGGGAGGGGGCTCCCCAACATGGGAGGGGGGCTCCCCAACATGGGAGGGGATCCCCAACATGGGAGGGGGGCTCCCCAACATGGGAGGGGGCTCCCCAACATGGGAGGGGGCTCCCCAACATGGGAGGGGGGCTCCCCAACATGGGAGGGGGGCTCCCCAACATGGGAGGGGGCTCCCCAACATGGGAGGGGATCCCCAACATGGGAGGGGGGCTCCCCAACATGGGAGGGGGCTCCCCAACATGGGAGGGGGCTCCCCAACATGGGAGGGGGGCTCCCCAACATGGGAGGGGGGCTCCCCAACATGGGAGGGGGCTCCCCAACATGGGAGGGGGGCTCCCCAACATGGGAGGGGGCTCCCCAACATGGGAGGGGGCTCCCCAACATGGGAGGGGGGCTCCCCAACATGGGAGGGGGGCTCCCCAACATGGGAGGGGATCCCCAACATGGGAGGGGATCCCCAACATGGGAGGGGGGCTCCCCAACATGGGAGGGGGCTCCCCAACATGGGAGGGGGGCTCCCCAACATGGGAGGGGGGCTCCCCAACATGGGAGGGGATCCACAGGAACTTGACGACTCTTCCCTGGTTGGTTAGTACCCTCACAGCTCTCTTGATCTCAGCGACTATGGTGTAGGGCGGAGGGTGACACTCAGGGCTGGTGTAGGGCGGAGGGTGTCACTCAGGGCTGGTGTAGGGCGGAGGGTGTCACTCAGGGCTGGTGTAGGGCGGAGGGTGTCACTCAGGGCTGGTGTAGGGCGGAGGGTGTCACTCAGGGCTGGTGTAGGGCGGAGGGTGTCACTCAGGGCTGGTGTAGGGCGGAGGGTGACACTCAGGGCTGGTGTAGGGCGGAGGGTGTCACTCAGGGCTGGTGTAGGGCGGAGGGTGACACTCAGGGCTGGTGTAGGGCGGAGGGTGTCACTCAGGGCTGGTGTAGGGCGGAGGGTGTCACTCAGGGCTGGTGTAGGGCGGAGGGTGACACTCAGGGCTGGTGTAGGGCGGAGGGTGACACTCAGGGCTGGTGTAGGGCGGAGGGTGTCACTCAGGGCTGGTGTAGGGCGGAGGGTGACACTCAGGGCTGGTGTAGGGCGGAGGGTGTCACTCAGGGCTGGTGTAGGGCGGAGGGTGACACTCAGGGCTGGTGTAGGGCGGAGGGTGACACTCAGGGCTGGTGTAGGGCGGAGGGTGACACTCAGGGCTGGTGTAGGGCGGAGGGTGACACTCAGGGCTGGTGTAGGGCGGAGGCTGTCACTCAGCGCTGGTGTAGGGCGGAGGGTGACACTCAGGGCTGGTGTAGGGCGGAGGGTGTCACTCAGGGCTGGTGTAGGGCGGAGGGTGACACTCAGGGCTGGTGTAGGGCGGAGGGTGACACTCAGGGCTGGTGTAGGGCGGAGGGTGTCACTCAGGGCTGGTGTAGGGCGGAGGGTGTCACTCAGGGCTGGTGTAGGGCGGAGGGTGACACTCAGGGCTGGTGTAGGGCGGAGGGTGTCACTCAGGGCTGGTGTAGGGCGGAGGGTGACACTCAGGGCTGGTGTAGGGCGGAGGGTGTCACTCAGGGCTGGTGTAGGGCGGAGGGTGACACTCAGGGCTGGTGTTGGGCGGAGGGTGTCACTCAGGGCTGGTGAAGGGAGGAGGGTGACACTCAGGGCTGGTGTAGGGCGGAGGGTGACACTCAGGGCTGGTGTAGGGCGGAGGGTGTCACTCAGGGCTGGTGTAGGGCGGAGGGTGTCACTTAGGGCTGGTGTAGGGCGGAGGGTGACACTCAGGGCTGGTGTAGGGCGGAGGCTGTCACTCAGGGCTGGTGTAGGGCGGAGGGTGACACTCAGGGCTGGTGTAGGGCGGAGGCTGTCAATCAGCACTGGTGTAGGGCGGAGGGTGTCACTCAGGGCTGGTGTAGGGCGGAGGGTGTCACTCAGGGCTGGTGTAGGGCGGAGGGTGACACTCAGGGCTGGTGTAGGGCGGAGGGAGTCACTCTGGGCTGGTGTAGGGCGGAGGGTGTTACTCAGGGCTGGTGTAGGGCGGAGGGTGTCACTCAGGGCTGGTGTAGGGCGGAGGGTGACACTCAGGGCTGGTGTAGGGCGAGGCTGACACTCAGGGCTGGTGTAGGGCGGAGGGTGACACTCAGGGCTGGTGTAGGGCGGAGGGTGTCACTCAGGGCTGGTGTAGGGCGGAGGGTGTCACTCAGGGCTGGTGTAGGGCGGAGGGTGTCACTCAGGGCTGGTGTAGGGCGGAGGGTGACACTCAGGGCTGGTGTAGGGCGAGGCTGACACTCAGGGCTGGTGTAGGGCGGAGGGTGACACTCAGGGCTGGTGTAGGGCGGAGGGTGTCACTCAGGGCTGGTGTAGGGCGGAGGGTGTCACTCAGGGCTGGTGTAGGGCGAGGCTGACACTCAGGGCTGGTGTAGGGCGGAGAGTGTCACTCAGCGCTGGTGTAGGGCGGAGACTGTCACTCAGGGCTGGTGTAGGGCGGAGGGTGTCACTCAGGGCTGGTGTAGGGCGGAGGCTGTCACTCAGGGCTGGTGTAGGGCGAGGCTGACACTCAGGGCTGGTGTAGGGCGGAGGGTGTCACTCAGGGCTGGTGTAGGGCGGAGGGTGTCACTCAGGGCTGGTGTAGGGCGAGGCTGACACTCAGGGCTGGTGTAGGGCGGAGGGTGACACTCAGGGCTGGTGTAGGGCGGAGGGTGTCACTCAGGGCTGGTGTAGGGCGGAGGGTGTCACTCAGGGCTGGTGTAGGGCGAGGCTGGCACTCAGGGCTGGTGTAGGGCGGAGGGTGACACTCAGGGCTGGTGTAGGGCGGAGGGTGACACTCAGGGCTGGTGTAGGGCGGAGGCTGTCACTCAGGGCTGGTGTAGGGCGGAGGGTGACACTCAGGGCTGGTGTAGGGCGGAGGCTGTCACTCAGGACTGGTGTAGGGCGGAGGCTGTCACTCAGGGCTGGTGTAGGGCGGAGGCTGTCACTCAGGGCTGGTGTAGGGCGGAGGGTGACACTCAGGGCTGGTGTAGGGCGGAGGGTGACACTCAGGGCTGGTGTAGGGCGGAGGGTGACACTCAGGGCTGGTGTAGGGCGGAGGGTGACACTCAGGGCTGGTGTAGGGCGGAGGGTGTCACTCAGGGCTGGTGTAGGGCGGAGGGTGTCACTCAGGGCTGGTGTAGGGCGGAGGGTGTCACTCAGGGCTGGTGTAGGGCGGAGGCTGTCACTCAGGGCTGGTGTAGGGCGGAGGCTGTCACTCAGGGCTGGTGTAGGGCGGGGCTGACACTCAGGGCTGGTGTAGGGCGGAGGCTGTCACTCAGGGCTGGTGTAGGGCGGAGGCTGTCACTCAGGGCTGGTGAAGGGCGAGGCTGACACTCAGGGCTGGTGTAGGGCGGAGGGTGACACTCAGGGCTGGTGTAGGGCGAGGCTGACACTCAGGGCTGGTGTAGGGTGAGGCTGACACTCAGGGCTGGTGTAGGGCGAGGCTGACACTCAGGGCTGGTGTAGGGCGAGGCTGACACTCAGGGCTGGTGTAGGGCGGAGGGTGACACTCAGGGCTGGTGTAGGGCGATCCTGACACTCAGGGCTGGTGTAGGGCGAGGCTGACACTCGGGGCTGGTGTAGGGCGGAGGGTGTCACTCAGGGCTGGTGTAGGGCGGAGGCTGACACTCAGGGCTGGTGTAGGGCGGAGGGTGACACTCAGGGCTGGTGTAGGGCGAGGCTGTCACTCAGGGCTGGTGTAGGGCGAGGCTGTCACTCAGGGCTGGTGTAGGGCGGAGGGTGACAGTTCTAGCAGTAACCACTAATGTGTGGTCAGGGGGGTGAGGGAGGGCCCTGAGTGACGGCCGGGGACGCCAGAGGGAAGTCAGTTGAGGACCTAAATCACAGGTGTCAATTACCGCCGGTGCCGCCGCTCCCTGAGTCCTGAGACCACAGCGACCCTCAGCCCTGGCCTTGTGGCTACCTGTTTGTCTTAAACCTTTCCTCAGTGTGTGTGTGTGTGTGTGTGTGGTGTGTGTGTGTGTGTGTGTGTGTGTGTGTGTGTGTGTGTGTGTGTGTGTGTGTGTGTGTGTGTGTGTGTGTGTGTGTGTGTGTGTGTGTGTGTGTGTGTGTGTGTGTGTGTGTGTGTGTGTGTGGGTGGGTGTATGTGTGTACTCACCTAGTTGTGCTTGCGGGGGTTGAGCTTTGGCTCTTTGGTCCCGTCTCTCAACCGTCAATCAACAGGTGTACAGGTTCCTGAGCCTACTGGGCTCTATCATATCTACACTTGAAGCTGTGTATGGAGTCAGCCTCCACCACATTGCTTCCTAATGCATTCCATTTGTCAACCACTCTGACACTAAAAAAGTTCTTTCTAATATCTCTGTGGCTCATTTGGGCACTCAGTTTCCACCTGTGTCCCCTTGTGCGTGTGCCCCTTGTGTTAAATAGACTGTCTTTATCAACCCTGTCAATTCCCTTCAGAATCTTGAATGTGGTGATCATGTCCCCCCTAACTCTTCTTCCAGCGAAGTGAGGTTTAATTCCCGTAGTCTCTCCTCGTAGCTCATACCTCTCAGATCGGGTGCTAGTCTGGTGGCAAACCTTTGAACCTTTTCCAGTTTAGTCTATGGATCTTGTATGTCGTTACCATAGCTGCTCTATACGCCTGCGTGTCCTGGGTGAAACTTATTATTTTTTGGATTGTAATGTTCAATCCTGTTCTTAATTTGCATTTTGTATTTTAAATGTATCGTAATACTATATATGGTACACACTTCAAGCATATACTCACCTAGTTGTGCTTGCGGGGGTTAAGCTCTGGCTCTTTGGTCCCGCCTCTCAACCGTCAATCAACTGGTGTAAAGATTCCTGAGCCTATTGGGCTCTATCATATCTACATTTGATATAACAAGGAATATCTACCAATGTGTATCAACGAGGAACTGGCTATTGACTTACAGACCATCCAAACGCTCTCACAATAATACGGGTTAAGTGTCTCAATCCATAAAGACAATTAGAGTTAAACAAGCGTTGGGATGGAGTAGGCTTGAGTGTGTGTGTGTCAGTTCCCGCCAGCCGGCCCGCCGCCGCCTCTCGCCGCTCCCAACCAAACGCGCGGATACTGTTTCAGTTCCACCAATTAGGGAAGTATGCCATTTCCCGCCAAATTACGAGATAATATGGCGGGAAGATTGCTGTCTTAGGTCCTCCCTCGTCACCCTATGGTCTCCCCTCGTCCTCCTCGTCACCCTATGGCCTCCCCTCGTCCTCCCCGTCACCCCATGGTCTCCCCTCGTCCTCCCTGTCACCCTATGGTCTCCCCTCGTCCTCCCTGTCACCCCATGGTCTCCCTTCGTCCTCCCCCGTCACCCCATGGTCTCCCCTCGTCCTCCCCCGTCACCCCATGGTCTCCCCTCGTCCTCCCCCTTCACCCCATGGTCTCCCCTCGTCCTCCCCCGTCACCCCATGGTTTCCCCTCGTCCTCCCCCGCCACCCCATGGTCTCCCCTCGTCCCCCCGTCACCCCATGGTCTCCCCTCGTCCTCCCCGTCACCCCATGGTCTCCCCTCGTCCTCCCCGTCACCCCATGGTTTCCCCTCGTCCTCCCCCGTCACCCCATGGTCTCCCCTCGTCCTCCCTGTCACCCCATGGTCTCCCCTCGTCCTCCCCGTCACCCCATGGTCTCCCCTCGTCCTCCCCCGTCACCCCATGGTTTCCCTTCGTCCTCCCCCGTCACCCCATGGTCTCCCCTCGTCCTCCCTGTCACCCCATGGTCTCCCCTCGTCCTCCCCATCACCCCATGGTCTCCCCTCGTCCTTCCCGTCACCCCATGGTCTCCTCTCGTCCTCCCTGTCACCCCATGGTCTCCCCTCGTCCTCCCCATCACCCCATGGCCTCCACTCGTCCTCCCCGTCACCCCATGGTCTCCCCTCGTCCTCCCCGTCACCCCATGGTCTCCCCTCGTCCTCCCCGTCACCCCATGGTCTCCCCTCGTCCTCCCCGTCACCCCATGGTCTCCCCTCGTCCTCCCCGTCACCCCATGGTCTCCCCTCGTCCTCCCTGTCACCCCATGGTGTCCCCTCAGTCACCCAACCGTCACTCCTCCCTCCCACAACCGACATCCTCTTCCCATCCGTTTCACACGCTAAGATGAATGTATAGTGAGAGAATTTCACACAATTCAATCCCAGACGATAAATGCTTATTTGTGTAATTTAGATGCTTTAGTTACCCCTAAACGTTATCTTCTAATGCATTTTCTTTTAATATGATAAAAAATGGAACATTAGGGGTGTCTAAAGTAAATTTCAAATGTAGCCTTAAACCAATTTAATGAATTTTTATTTAATTCATTAAATTTAATTTCAATGAGTATTAGTTCTATATTTTATATTTGATAAGTCTTTAATATCCCGTAGGGTATTTTAGCTTCATATATTGTTTTATTGTAACAATAATATATAAATTGTAACTGATTTTTTGTCAATGAATTAAAAAACATTGACTATAGGTCTAGTCACAAAAATATTACTATAAATACTAAATAATAATAATAATATCTAGTAACTGTTATATCAGGTAAACACATAGGATGTAGATATATATATATATATATATATATATATATATATATATATATATATATATATATATATATATATATATATATATATATATATATATATATATATATATATATATATATATATATAAGATCAAACTACTGACCCTTGCCAGGATGCAGCCCTCAACAGTAGTAAAGAGTAAATAAGTAGTAAATAGACACATTCGACATTCGGGTATTATTTACTAGTAGAAAACAGCAGCATTAGGTGAAAGGGATCGTACCCAACCATTTCTGTCCCGCCCGGGAGTCGAACCCGGGATCCCTGATTATGAATCGAGAACTATTCCAACTGTACCACGAGCCTTTAGACTCAAAACCAGACTATAAGAAGAGCTAAACTCTCCTCCTCTGAAATATATTTAAAGAAGTAAAATGAAACATAAAATACACACGGACAAGGTAAGATAACTATCAGTAGAAAGCGCTAAGCAATTTCGACTATATATAGCACTGGGAAGGGATCAGGATAAGGATTTGGGATGAGACGGGGAGGGGGAGGGAATGGTGGCCCAACTCTTTGGACAGTCGGGGATTGAACGCCAAACTGCATACAAATGCAATACAATACAAGTATTTATTCAGGTAAAGTACCTACATACATACATACATACAAGGTGAAATACAAAAGTTGATGGATTTATAGATAGAGCTAGTACATACAATGCCTAAAGCCACTATTACGCAAAGCGTTTCGGGCATGAAGCGAGACCGTCCGCTCTACCGTCCAGCCCAAGTGGTTGGGCATATATGAACAGTCAACTCAAACCTCCAAACACACACAATAAACAGATTAAGCTCGCAAAACACGGACACTTCCTAGCCTCAGATATAGAAGCAATAACTCAACATATTATATTTTTTGGATCGACTAGCCTGACCCCGGCCTGGCCTTGGGTAGTAGAACTCTTATAACCACATCCAGGTACAATCCAGGTAAACCTAACCTTGCCAGAACCCAGAACCATCCCAGAGAAACACAAACAAATGTTACATATCTCGTCAGCAGCTACCCCAGCTCTCTGTGCCTTGCGGCAATCAGTCCCTCCGGGAGTACATCTGTAATGCCTTCAGTCCCCCCTACAACACGCAGGACATCAGAGAAAATGGCCAGACCTCATGGAGACCAACCACTCACAACCAGGTTGTTATTATTGTTGCTATTGATTTAGGGGGCCGCGAATGGGCTAATCTGATCCCTCGATCGTCGTCGCCCCTCAGGCAACAACAGTATTTAGGTTAAAGTGAAGGTTAATGCCTTATGGGTATATGAACGTCACTTGTCGGCGAAAACGAACGCATCTTACAGCCAATAAGCACACTGATAATGTCTGGGGAGCCCCTGGAGTCCCTCAGGGACGCGATCACCGGCCCTACCCTGGGTAGCCAAACCTGACGGCAGGATAGCGATTCAATGGGTAAGCTCGCATCGCGTGTTCCAGGAGGCCCCTCAGGCGTAGCAGGCGTCCGGACGTCCGTTCGTCGAGGTGGTTGAACCGGGAGTCTAACCGGTTTGTCCTCCCGGTACAAGCATGTAAACACGGTGGCTTTGGTGTCCATCTTGCGTGTGTACACAGGGTCTCATAATACAGTTGGCTTCGTTCTTAACTCATATTCGGGGCACCCGGGTTCGATTCCCAGGAACCCTTACCGTAGGTTTTTCTGTCAACAGCAAATGTTATGATGTGGTTTGTAATAATCTCATTTATGTCGTTGGTGAATATAAAAGTGTTGGCAGAGTGGTTGTTGGGTGGCAGGGCCGGCAGCAGTAGCCTATTCTTATGTCCACGGGACAACTTGAGCAAATATTTTATACTTCTTCCTAATGTAATTTACGAAGACGAACATCACAGATTGTTTTAAAGCCTCAACTAAAAAGAATTACTGCCTGCAAATAAATTTTTATCCATTGCTAATTTGTCTTGCTGATGCTTGCGGGAGAACTGCTTCCCACCTCAGTCTAAAAAGGAGTAATGTTCGCAACATTTCGCGTACCTGGTGGGATATATATATATATATATATATATATATATATATATATATATATATATATATATATATATATATATATATATATATATATATATATATATATATACATACATTATATATATATAATATGTATAAAATATATATATATACATTATATATATATAATATATATATATATATATAAATATATATATATATATATTTATATATATATATATATATATATATATATATATATATATATATATATATATATATATATATATATATATATATATATATGTCGTACCTAGTAGCCAGAACTCACTTTTCAGCCTACAATGCAAGGCCCGATTTGCCTAATAAGCCAAGTTTTCATGAATTAATATATTTTCTCTAATTTTTTTCTTATGAAATGATAAAGCAACCCATTTCATTATGTAAGAGGTAAAATTTTTTTTTTATTGGAGTTAAAATTAACGTAGATATATGACCGAACCTAACCAACCCTACCTAACCTAACCTAACCTATCTTTATAGGTTAGGTTAGGTTAGGTAGCCGAAAAAGTTAGGTTAGGTTAGGTTAGGTAGGTTAGGTAGTCGAAAAGCAACTAATTCATGAAAACTTGGCTTATTAGGCAAATCGGGCCTTGCATAGTAGGCTCAGAAGTGAGTTCTGGCTACTAGGTACGACATATATATATATATATATATAATATATAAATTATATATATATATAATTTTTTTATACCTTATGCGAGTGGACTTGAAAAATTGTCTCTGATTTTTAAGAAACTTAATATAAATTTGGTGTTCACTAATAGTACGATCAAATCCAATTTAATAAAAAACTCCCCTGACACAGCAGGTTGTGTGTATTCGATTCCCTGCAATGATTGTGATTCTGTGTACCTTGGACAAACAGGAAAGTCCTTACAATTGCGGTTGTCACAACATGCTTATAGTATTAGAACTGCCCAAACGTCTAATGCATTGTATCTACATACGAGTTTATGCGATCACAATATTAACTGGAATGGGGCAAAAAGCATTACCAATTGTGGTGATTTCGTGGAACGGAATTTGATTGAGTCTGCTCTAATCAGTCAGTGTCCAAATCTTCTTAATGTTAGTACTGGAATGTACAAACTTGATCCATTTTTAAGTTATAATATTGCACAACAGTTTAAGAAACAACTCTGATAGAGAGGCTTACAATGTCTCATTATAACTGTATATTCATATATTGTGTGTTCATGAGGCTTTTCTTTAATCTTTCATCCTTATTCTCTGACCGCTTAATCCTCTTTGACCATTCTAAGCTAAGCTATACCTGTTTTTGGTTAATTACACCTGACCAACCCTAGGGATGGGTTGGTCAGGTGTCGGCCTATATATCCTCCCCCTTCTCCCTTCTCCTTAGTCGGTCTGGTGTTGACAAAGGCTTTAACAAAGCCGAAACGTTCACCTCATTTCATATTTCTCTGTGGATTTTCCGCATATATATATATATATATATATATATATATATATATATATATATATATATATATATATATATATATATATATATATATATATATATATATATATATATATATATATATATATATATATATATATATATATATATATATATATATATATATATATATATATATATATATATATATATATATATATATATATATATATATATATATATATATATATATATATATGTCGTACCTAGTAGCCAGAACGTCGTACTCAGTTTGCTATGCAAGGCCCGATTTGCCTAATAAGCCAAGTTTTCCTTAATTAATATATTGTCTCTAATTTTTTTCTTGTGAAATGATAAAGCTACCCATTTCATTATGTATGAGGTCAATTTTTTTTATTGGAGTTAAAATTAACGTAGATATATGACCGAACCTAACCAACCCTACCTAACCTAACCTAACCTATCTTTATAGGTTAGGTTAGGTTAGGTAGCCGAAAAAGTTAGGTTAGGTTAGGTAGGTTAGGTAGTCGAAAAACAATTAATTCATGAAAACTTGGCTTATTAGGCAAATCGGGCCTTGCATAGTAGGCTGAGAAGTGCGTTCTGGCTACTAGGTACGACATATATATATATATATATATATATATATATATATATATATATGTCGTACCTAGTAGCCAGAACTCACTTCTCAGCCTACTATTCAAGGCCCGATTTGCCTAATAAGCCAAGTTTTCCTGAATTAATATATTTACTATAATTTTTTTCTTATGAAATGATAAAGCAACCCTTTTCTCTATGTATGAGGTCAATTTTTTTTTATTGGAGTTAAAATTAACGTAGATATATGACCGAACCTAACCAACCCTACCTAACCTAACCTAACTTATATTTATAGGTAAGGTTAGGTTAGGTAGCCAAAAAAAGCTAGGTTAGGTTAGGTTAGGTAGGTTAGGTAGACGAAAAAACATTAATTCATGAAAACTTGGCTTATTAGGCAAATCGGGCCTTGAATAGTAGGCTGAGAAGTGCGTTCTGGCTATTAGGTACGACATATATATATATATATATATATATATATATATATATATATATATATATATATAATGTCGTACCTAGTAGCCAGAATGCACTTCTCGGCCTAATATGCAAGGCCCGATTTGCCGAATAGGGCGAGTGATTTTCTTTATTTTCCAAAAAGTGTTTCCAATTGGATTATTTGAATTATTATTACTATAGTATACTCTGAACATAAATTATTGACTTAGATATATTAGTTTAGGCTAGGTTAAGATAGGTTAGGTAGGGTAGGTTAGGTTCGGTCATATATCTATTTTTTTTTTTTTTTTTTTTTTTTTGAGATATATAGAAGAGTTGTTACATTCTTGTACAGCCACTAGTACGCGTAGCGTTTCGGGCAAGTCCTTAATCCTATGGTCCCTGGAATACGATCCCCTGCCGCGAAGAACCGTAATCTACGTTAGTTTTAACTCAAAACAAATAAAATGAACTCATACATAATGAAATACATTGGTTTATCATTTCATAAGAAAAAAATATAAATTCAGGAGAACTTGGCTTATTAGGCAAATTGGGCTTTGCATAGTAGGCCGAGTACGACGTTCTGGCTATATATATATATATATATATATATATATATATATATATATATATATATATATATATATATATATATATATATATATATAAAGGTTGTAAAGGTACCATCTCTGGTGCAAATGTGGACATATATATAAATAAAGAGTCCCGGAAGTACAATCGAGTTCGTTTTCAACTCACAATCGGGAATTCCGGGTTCGAATTCCAGACGAGACAGAAGTGGTTGGGCGCGTTTCCTCTCATCTATTGCGTCAGTTCACCTAGCAGTAAATAGGTACCCTGGAGTTAGTCAGCTTGTTGTGAAGTTGCATCCTGGGAAGGGTCAGTGGGTCTGGCTGCTTCTTCCCCGACACAAGGAATTATTAACTATTAATTATATTCACTGGCTGCCTATCCCCCTACACAATGAATTATTAGGAATTATTAAATATGTTGTTGCTGTTGTTGAGTTAGGGGCGATGACGATCGTGGGATCGGATGCGCCCCGGCGTACCCGTGAATTATTATATACAATATAAAAATAAGGTTTATTTACGTATCCCCTATCTGCTTACGTTTTCTATTAATTTTTTATCAAAGAAAACAATTTTTAGGCTAACTATAACAAAATAAGTTTACTCCTTAAAATTTCTTTCGTCGGGGACAGACAGCCTGTTTATACATATACGTTAGACTTCATACATGTTAGGCTTATATCAAGGTCCCTCCCCTCCGTGTGGGACTACTGACCCTCCCCAGGATGCAACCTCACAACAGTTGATAAACTTCTGGGTACCAATTTACTGCTAGTTGAACAGAGGCATTTGGTAAGATGAAGCATGCCCAATCATTTCTGACCCGCCCGGAATTCGAACTCGGGATTCCCGATTGAGAATCGAAAACGAACCCTCCTATCAATTTATACCTGGCGCGCTAATTATCTCTCTTAGTACAGTTGGCTTCGTTCTCAACTCATAATCGGTTATTCCGGGTTTGATTCCCAAACTGGACAGAAATGATTGGGTATGTTTCCTTTCCCTTAATGCTCTAGTTCACGTAGCAGTAAATAGTTACTCGGGAGTTAGTCAACTATTGCTGGGTTACGTCCTGGGAAGGGTCAGTTGTTCCACCTTGAAGGACGGGCCCCTCAATGTTTACCTAAAACATACCTATACACAGGATTTGTGTCCACAACAAAGCGAATTAATTCACGTTTTCATCATACTTTTTTTCCTAAAGTTGTAGATGGACTTTGCTTCAACAAGTCAAGTCCATAATTCAAGACATTTTAGTTTAGTTTATTTATTATGCACCCCATACCCATCTTGTGGGCGGTAGTGGAAAGGGTTACAGAGGCACATAATGGGCTCAGGGACT